TGAAGATAATGCATTCCTAACAGATTTCTAAGTGATGTTGATGCTGCCGGCCAAGGGACCTCATTTGGAATAGCAAGGCTCACACGTAGAATTCAGAATAATAGTTACATGAAGGTGCCCAGGAAAGAGTTGGTTATCATTTCAGGTTGTCCTCTATAAAAATCCTAAAAGTGGGTTTCTCTTTCCATTAGTATTTCAGAGGATAGATGGCTATCCAGTAGTTTTGAAGAGAGAACTATTAAATGGAATAAATTTGATTAAAGGACAACTTTCAGGATTCTTCTAGTTATAAAAATTTAATACAATGCTTTTTAAACAAGAATACTTAAAGATAGCTATTTAGGACATGAACTGTCTTCTTGCAGGAAATTTTCTACCTATCCCTAAATTGTTTTGATATTTAAAGGTATTGTCAAGAACAGTTTAGCTAATACTTTTACAAAATGAGAGGAAATTTGTTTTTATGCAGTAGCTCATAAAAACTTACATTAAGAGTCTGTGCAGCTGCTAAGACTGGTTCAATAGCTTTGCCACAGAATTTCGTTCTGGTAAGAGCTAAATTATCACCAGTAGCCAAATATTTCCTATTTAGATGCATGCACATTCTTACCTAATGAAATTGGATCACCGAGACCTTATGTAAAGCTTAGTTTTCCGTGCTTAATAGCAAAATAATTGTAGGCAAATTGCTTAACTGATTTTAATCAGTGTTCTCATTTGGAAAATAAGGTATTGGCCTCCATGGTCTCTCAGACCATTGCGAGTTCTCTCTCCTTGCAAAATTTCTTATGTCCTTTTTTTGTTGTTGTCTAAGCTGCTTTATAAATCGAAGTCATAGAATCGCTGTGATTTTGAATCTTCCTTACTGCTGTCCTGATACTGCTTTCTTGTTAAAGGAGTGTGTTAAAAACTAAATGCCATCTCAAACTTGCTGGTTTTACTATCATTTTATCTAAATCACTGGATAAAAACTTGCTCTAAATATTCCTAAATAGTGTAGGTTGTTTTATAAATGATTTTCTAGTTGCATAATTCTTACAAATAAATACATTAGTAGGTTAAATACCTATTTTGTGCTATGCTCATTGGTTAAGATATGGTCTGCATGTCTACCTTTTGGGGGGAAGGAATACTGGTTAAGCAGACAATACTAACAATAGAGCAGATAAGTCCCAGGATTTCCAAGTACTGTGATAATGCGTAACGAACCCTATAGAAAATAGAGAAAAGAAATTTAGTCAAAGATGACAGGCCGGGACATGAAAGAGAAGTAAAGGTTAACTAGAGGTAGGAAAGGTGGGCCAAGGAGAACAGCAGCAAACATGAATAAAGGCATGCAAGCATGGAACAGCACAGTAGGCTCGAGCACACACTGTTGTTAATGTGTCAAATAAAGGAAATTAAGACTTCAGTGTAAGCAGGTGCTTTGTGCACCATGAAGAGCTGGGCTTTGTTCTTTCTTGCTAGGAGAGCCGTGGATAGACTCTTGAAGTATTCTGTATTAGACGGAATGAAACTGCAGGGTACTGTGAGTGTGCTGCGTGAGAAATGCCTCCGGTCTCCAGCTGTCAGACTTTCCCATCCACCACAGGAACCTAGCATGAACCCGTTAGCCTCACACCTGTCCAGCCCATCTCACAACACCGGAACCTCTCCATTTTTGTTTTTCATTATTTTATCTAATGGAGGACACCAATGAGAAATATAAACTGGCATACTATTTATATCTGAATCCCTCAGTAATGTTTTCACGCAATGATTTATTTATTTGTGTGTGTGTGTGCGCCCAGTTTGGCTTTGACAGAATTGGTATCTGGTGTTTCTATAGCCTTTTTTTTGTCTTAGTTCTAGATTGTCTTTTTAATGAGTTACATGCAAGTTTTATTCCAGAGTGCTTTGCTTCCTTTTAAACTATGAATTTGAAAGTAGATTTTTGGCACAATGGTGAAGACATTGTACTGGGACACTGACTTCCTCTGTCAGAGCGCCTGAGTTCACGCTTGTTCCCAGCTTCCTATTGAAGCAGAAAGAGGTGCTTCAGGCTTGGCTTAGCTGTGGTAGCATTTGAAGAGTGAGCCAGATGGGAGATAACTCTCCATTTTTTTTTTTTATTCTTACTCTCCCTACCACCAGTAAATTCAGTAAAAATTTATATTTATGTGTGTGTGCATAAATATATCAACTATATTTCAAAAAGTTTATGAAGTTTAAACAGATATAAAAGGAGTCAGGAAGGTAACTATAAGCATTTAGTAAAGGCTCACTAGATGAAATGAAAAGCAGAGTTTGAAAATGCGTTAGAACTCTTCAGAACACTGTTTCAGGAGAATCAAAAATGAAGTCCTAGTGCAGATTTCCTGTGATGGTAAAACAGTGCTGAGGAGACCATCTGTGGTCTCCTTAGAGTGAGGCAATGTAAGTCAACAACTAATCCCACTTTTTATTATTTATTTGAGAAGCAGCAAGACAGCGCTATCATCTACCAGCTTAATCCCCAACAGATGGGGGAACCACAGTCAGGGGCTGGGAACTCAATGCAGGCTGCTTCCGTGAGTGGCAGAAACCCAGTTAATGGAGCCATCATTTGCTACACACTGGGGTCTGTTTCAGCAGGCGGCTGAAATCAAGAGTTGGCATTGGGAGTGAAGCCTGGCATTCATACATAGAATGTGGCAATGCAAACTTTAGGTGTCTTAATTGCTAAGCCAAAAACCCACTCCCATGATCCCAATTTTAATGTGGAATTATTTTCCCGTACATACTCTAAAAACACCCTTTAGATGATACAAGAAATTGACTAGCTTATTTTCTTTTAGTTCTAGATAGTTTGACTTTCTCTTAGGTTTCTCTGCTTGACCTTTTTCTTACTTAATCATGTGCACAGTCAAGTGGAACAAATCTGTCAGTGAACAACTAAAATGTTTTAAAAAGTAAACAGAGGGCCTGGCATGGTAACCTAGCAGCTAAAATCCTCACCTTGCATGTACTAGGATCCCATGTGGATACGGGTTCTAATCCTGACGGCCCCACTTCCCATCCAGCTGCATGGCTGTGGCCTGGGAAAACAGTTGAGGACAGCCTGAGGCCTTGGAACACTACACCCATATGAGTGACCTGGAAGAAGCTCCTGGCTTCCGATTGGCTCAGCTCCAGCTGTTGCAGCCACTTGGGGAGCAAATAAACAGACAGAAGATCTTCTCTTTCTCTCCTCCTCTGTGTATATCTGGCTTTCCAATAACAATAAAATAAATCTTTTTTTTAAGTAGACAGAGCTCTGGCAGACATATAAAGTCAGTAAATACTGAGTCTGAATCAGACGCTCTCAAGCAGGAATACGAGCTCCCTTTCCTAGGGGGAGAAGGCGAATCACAATTTGTGAGGAGAAAGAAATTATTTTCTCAACACTGCCGTTTAGCAGATTGCTGTGTGTCCTCTACTGGTGTAGGAACTGATGATGCCTGGTCCTCCACCTTCTGAAGAGGAAGTGTGATGAGCCTTTGCAGAAGTGCTTTGTAATATCTAATTTCACTTAAGCATTCTAGTGAACCATAGAGCGTAAAGATTTTGAAAGAACTAGAATAGCATTCCGGAAAGATTCCTTCAGCTGGATACATGTGGGCATCATTGTTAATCTTGACCATCTTTCCATTGGGAACTAAAGGTTCAAAAAGGGAATATCTCCCTGTGTGTGCCTTTACTCACTTTTCCTAACAGCAGCTGTCCAATAAATACATTAACCTGTGTGTATTAAGGTGTTATTGAAATATAAGGAAATCTGAATATAAGCCCATAAGGAAATAATTTGTCACCTTCAACTGTCATATATTGAGAACAGTAATAAGAGCTTGCCATGTGCTTCTTGGAACTTGGGTTTCAGTTGAAACTGTGGTTCTCTCAAGTTCTACCCAAATCTCAGAGGAGTTAATTTTCTTTACTTTGTCCTGCACTCCCCTCAGCCCACTGTGGCTCATTTTTATCTAATAGTAAGCGTTCCATATAAATAATGAATAGGTGAAGTGTCTAATAAGTGAACCAAGAGAATGTGTGGTAGTTCTGTTCTTTGAGCCTTTAAGCAGTTGAAGTACTCTAGAGGCCACACTACGAAATAGGGATATGTACAGGTTGAATGTGTTCAGAGAGAAGTGTCCAGCAGGGAAAAAAGAATCCAAATGAACCTAAACCTAAGATAATAGACTTAAAAAATTAACATTTACATTCAAAAGACAGGTCTAAGGCCCAGCTCTCCCACTGCGCTTACAACAAGTCATTTTACCTCTCTGAACTTTAGTATCATTTGCAAAATGACCATGTATGTGTGTGCATGCAAGATTTTCTCTTAACTTTTTAAGATAATTTTTTAAAAGCAGGTATATTTTGTTATGCATGAGTTGTCCTTGGTACAAAACTGCTTTTTAGCAAGTTGATGGAGTTTTTGGGTGATGGGCATTTTTATTAAAAGGAAATACAGTTATCTAGTATCTTACAATTTCAAAGTGTAGGCATATCTACTATATTATTTTTAAAAATTTGAGATGATCAGGTTTTTTTGGACTGACAGAATGTTTAAGTAAATCAATATGCTAAGCATGATTTCAAAGACACTCTGTTTCATAGTAAATGCTCTTTATTTTAAAAGCATCCACTGAAGAAAAAAATAAGTGACGATTTATTTAAAAGTTTTATTTATTCATAAAAGCATAATGACTTTGTTAAAGTGGTTCAGGTTTATGTTTCTTTAAAATGCAAGGTTAATCTTGTGGTTCATACATAGCAATAAATTTGCAGCCTGTTCATAACATCTTAGAAAATAGCTTTAAATCATTATAATTTCCATAGTTTTGATAATTGGGCTACTTGTGTGAAAACACATAACCACTTAGTTTGACATGTCAGCAAAACCGACTTGTTTAAAACACTTTATAGCTTCAGGGTTACTTTTGCTTTTTGCTCTCTTTTGTAAACTCACTTGTGTCCCAGCTAATTCTTTTTTCTTTGAAAAGCCTTGCAGTGAGAGAATTTCTTTGTCTGGATGACCCCCCAGGTCCATTTGATAGCCTAGAAGAAAGCAGGGTAAGTGCTGTGTTCTGTGTCACATGAAAAGCAACACATGATGTAGTACAGTAACCCCTTTGCTTCTTGACTCAAATAGCAAATGTAAACTACAATTGCAGACTGTGGTAGATTTGCATAGAAAGGTTTTAGGTTTTGAATCAAAGGTTTCTTTCATTGAAAAAAATGACTTAGTTGACTGAAAAAATTTGTGACATATAATTAGGGATGCTTTAAAATTAATCTCTGCATTCTTTATTGCTTACACAAATATAAAATGAGAACTTATTTTTACAATAACCGGTAGAACTATTTGTGTGCTGACGTTAAGTATCAAGGCACCAACAATTAAATTCAAATTTAAAACTTAGCTTTGGAGCTGAAACTGATTGTCTCCTTAGCAGTTCAGTGCTTGTTTGATGCTCCTCAGCTTATGTTAATTGATGTGCTAAGGTGACCTGTTTCTTGAAATAGTAGTCTAGATTTACAGAACAGATGAATAATAATAGGTTAACTAGAGTTTTAGGAAAGCTTTCTTCCAAATATTTATTATGTTTTAATGGAACAGATGGATTTCTAATGTTTTAAACTGAGCTGGGTCAGTTCTTTTGTTATTGAGAATGCCAAAACTTTTTTAAAGCAATTTTTTTGGAGTCAAATTCATATTCATAATATTTACCCACTGGGTATTTGCTAATCTATTGTAAATACAATTTATTAAACTTTAGTGAATGTATAGAGCTATACTGACATCGCCATAATTCAATTTTAGGACATTCCCATGACTCCAAAAACAAAATTCCCATAAGTCATTTTCAGTTACTCTACACTCATAAAAGGCAATAAGTTATCTACTCTTTGCCTTGTCTGAATACTTCTTGTAGAATCATACTGTATGTATGTGCATGTAATTAGTACACAATACTAATCTTTAACATATGCATTTCACATACATAGTTTGCGGTGTATACTAGGTGCCTGCCAGAATTCCTTAAATATGAGCATTATGGAAATTGTGTGTAACGTGTGTTTTCATTTCTCTTGGAGCTATTCTTGTGAAATTTAATAATCTAGCACATGTAGGCTTGCCTTTTTTTTTTTAAGACTAATTAATTTATTTGAAAAGCAGAGTTATAAAGAGAGGGAGACACAGTGGAAGAGATCTTCCATCAGCTGGTTCACTCCCCAAATTGGAGTAATGGGCAGAGCTAGGCCAGTCTGGAGCCAGGAGTCTGGAGCTTCTTCCTGATCTACCACATGGGTAAGGGTCCCAAGGACTAAAGCCATCCTCCACTGCTTTCTCAGGAACTCTACGAAGTAACTAGGCTAGAAGTGGAGCAGCTGGGATTCTACCCCAAACCCATATAGGTGCATCGCCTCAGGCAGCAACTTTATACTCTGTACCACAGCACCAGCCTTCTGTGCTTAACTGTTTAAAGAAATGGCTAAACTGTTTTGAAAGTGGGTTTATCATTTTACATTCCTGCTGGTAATGTACAGAAGTTCCAGTTTTTCCAGGTCCCCATTTGGTATTATCTGGTTTTTGTATATTATAACCATTTTCATGGGTATGTAGTTTTATTATAGTTTTAATTTCCATTTCCTTAATGATTTCCACTAATCCCCGTTTTTTAGTTTTATTTTTTGTAATACGTTTCCATGGGCTCATGGATTTATCTTTCCAAACTCCCAATTCCCCTTTCCCCACTGGTTTCATTATTACAATAGTATAGTCCTTCAGCAACAGTCACAAGTCCATCATTCTTCGATCTAAGTGTATCGTGACATTGTAGGTTTAGACAATGGTAGAAAAACCAGTATCCTATTATGAAAATATTCTTAACAGTTTCATTGCGAGTCCATCTTTTATTCAGACATACTGTGATGGATCTTCTCAGTATGCTAGTCTCCATTGTTATACAGTTCCTGAAGGTGAATGTATGTATATACATGGTTACCTATAGATCTGTTGATCTTGTGTTTTGTGTGAAGGTTACCTAAGAAAGAACATGTGATATTTGTCCTTTTAGGATTGTCTTACTTCACTGAGCAACTGCGACCATTTTGTTGCAAGTGGTAGAATTTCATTCTTTTTAATGGTTGAGTAGAGTTCCATATAGTATGCAGCACAGTTTCATTCTTTCCTGTCTATGAGCCATTTGAATTCGTTCTTTTGAAAAATGCCTGCTCATTTACTTTGCCTATTTCTTCAGAGTTATCTGTTTCACTGTTGAGTTTCTGAAGCTGTTTATAAATCCTGGATATTAGTCCCCTATCAATTGTGCAGTGTGCAAAGATTGCCTCCCATTCTTTGGCTGCTTTTTCACTTTGTTGATCATCTCCTTTGCTGTACAGAAGCTTCTTAATTTCGTGTAATGCCATTTGTATACTTTGGCTTTGACTGCCTATGATTTTGGTGACTTTTCTAAGAAGTTTCCCAATTCCTCTATCTTGGAGAGTACCTCCTATGTTTTCCTCTTATAGTTTGCTGGTTCCTGGGTACGAATTTAGGTCCTTGGCCCATTTAGAGCTACCTAAGACAGGTAGGCTGCTATCTGATTGTCCCATCAGCACGTGTTGAAGAGACCAAAATTTTTCCTTTGTTATTTTCAGTTCTCTAGACAAAGATTAGTTGGCCATACATGTGCGGACTCACTTCTGGGATTTCTGTTCTGTTCCATTGGTCTTTGTTTCTGTACCCCTACCAAACTGTGTTGGTTACCACTGCCTACTAATATGTCTTGAGGTCTGATTGTGATTCCTCCAGCTTGATTTTAATTCTTCAGGATAGCTTTGCCTGTTTATGGTCTCTTGTGTCTTCAGATGAACTTTTGTATCATCTTTTCTGTTTCTAAGAATATTGGGATTTTGATTGTTATCACACTGAATCTATGTATTACTTTCAGTAAAATGGACATTTTGATAATGTGGATCCTACCAATCCAAGAACAAGGTACATTTCTCCAACTTTCAATGTTTTCTTCTATTTTTAATGTTTTCTAATTTTCATCATACAGATCTTGCACATCTTTGTTTAGGTTTATTCTAAGGTAGTTAATATTTTTCTCCATTATTTTAAAGGAAACTGTACTTACAAGTTCCTTCTCAGCCAGGAAATTATTTATGATCAGTCTTTGATTCATGTTCGTTATTTTTGCATCCTGCTACCCTGACAGACTCTTAGGAGTTTCACTAGTCTCCTGATTGAGTTGTGTGGTTCTCCTGTGTTTAGAATCATGTCATCTGCAAACAGAGATAATTTTAATTCCTCATTATCAGTTTTGATTCGTTTAATATTTTTTCTTCCCTAGAACATCTAGTGAGGAGTTCCAATTCTATGTTGGAGAGTTGGTGAAAATGGACATCCTTGTCAAGTTCCATATATTAGTGAAAAGCTTGCAGTCTTTCCCCTGTTTAGTATGATGCTGACATTGGGTTTTTCTTAAATTGCTTTGTTATAGTATGTAGGTGTAGAATGTTCTTTTTAAGCCTGTCTTGTTAAGGGTTTTTAGCATGAAGTGTATTGGATTGTATCAAATGCTTTCTCTACATCTACTGAGATGATCAAATGTTTGTTTTTATTTTGCAGTATGTTAATATGATGCATCACATTTATTGATTTGTGTATGTTGAACTGTCTCTACATGCCAGGGATAAATCCCAACTCTTCTGGATGAATGATCTGATGTACTGCTAGATTTTGTTGCCTGGTATTTTGTTGGATTTTTTCATCTATGGTCAGCAGGGATATCAGTCTGAAGTTCTCTTTTTCTGTTGTGTCTCTATCTTGCTTTCATATTAAGGTGATATTGACATCATAGAAAGAGTTTGGAAGGATTGCTTCTAAACTCTGTCTTGAATAGCTTGTGAAGGATTGGGATAAGTTATTGAAATATTTGGTAGAATTCAGCAGTATGAGCCATCTGGTCCAGAGCTTCTCTTTGTTGGGAGGGATTTAATTACTGATTCAAACTCCAGCCTTATTATAGGTCTATTAAGATTAATTGCCTCATGATTCAATTTGGTAGATTGTATTCAAAATCTATTCATTTCTTCTGGGTCTTCCAATCTGTTGGTGTATACTTGCTTGTAACAACTCCTGATTATACTATGTATGTCCAAGATATCCATTGTTACATTTGCTTTTTCATCTCTGATTCTCTTTGTATCTTCTCCCTCCTTTTTTCTGATCAGTTAGGCAAGTAGGGAATTTGTTTTGTTGACTTTCTCAAAGAACCACGCCTTTGCTTGATCGCATATATTGTTTTGGTCTCTATTTGGTGTATTTTCTCCCCTATCATAATTACTTTATTATTTCTGCTAATCTTGGGACTGCTTGCTGTTTTTCTAGCTCCTTCAGATATATGACTAAACCTTTTATTTGGTACGTTCCTAATTTCTTGACATAAGCATTGATTGAAATGAATTTTCTTCTTAACCCTGCCTTGATTGTGTACCATAAGTTTGATACATTGTGTTGATGCCTTCATTCATTAAAAGCAATTTTTTTATTTCATCTTTCATTTCTTCTATACCCATTGTTCATTCAGCAGCATGTTGCTATGCCAGGTGTTTGCATATATTCTGGGGTATCTTGACTTGGGGGTCTCCAGTTTCAATCCATGGTAGTCTGAAAAGATGCATGGTATGATTTGTTTTTAAGATTTATTTTATTTTTATTGGAAAGTTAGGTGTACAGAGAGGAAGATCTTCTGTCCGATGATTCACTCCCCAAGTGACCTCAACAACCAGAGTCACGCCAATCCGAAGCCAGGAGCTCTTCCAGGTCTCCCACACAGGTGCAGGGTCCCAAGGCTTTGGGCTGTCTTCAACTGCTTTCCCAGGCCACAGGCAGGGAGCTGGATGGGAAGCGAGGCTGCCGGGATTAGAACCGGCAGCCAGATGAGATCCTGGCTTGTGCAAGGCAAGGACTTAAGCCGCTGGGCTACTGCACCAGGCCCCCATTAATTTTGTGTGAGAGTGTGTGTGTAGCAAGGTGAATTTGGTGCATAATTATATTT